CGCCGTCGCCATCACCATGGTTTTTACTACTACTACTACGACGACTACTATTACGACGACGACGATTACTACTACCGCTACCACTATTACTACTACTACTACTACTACTACTACTACTACTACTACTACTACTACTACTTCTACTACTACTACTACTACTATTACTATTAATATTATTAATACTACTACTACTACTACTATTATTATTACTACTACTACTACTACAACTACTACTCCTACTATTACTATTATTTCTACTACTACTACTACTACTACTACTACTACTACTACTACTACTACTACTACTACTACTACTATTACTACTACTGCGACTACGACTACGACTACGACTACGACTACTACTACTACTACTACCTTTGCTACTACTACTAGTACTAGGGTTACACCTCACCTTCGTGTTTTTCAGAGTGAATGGGTGAAGGTTCGGGTTCGGGTCCGGTATTGTGTACACAGTAGAATCCGAATTCATTACTTTTTTTTTTTTTTTTTTTTTTTTTTTTTTTTTTTTTTTTTTTTTTTTTTTGTAAAAAAAAAATATTATTTTTTATTTATATATATATATATATAAAACGAATGCAGTACGAATGAGATACGACTACAATACGACTACAATGCGAGTACCGTGGGAAAGCAATCTAGTTCGTAAACGACACGATGGTGATGTGTGAAAGTGCCAATTCTGCTTAATTTCTGAATGCAACAGTTATACTCGCAAGACGAACAACTAGTACACGAAGGTGGGGTTTGAGACAGGACGGCCTCCTAGGGCGGCTTATGCATTTCTAACGGTTATACGAAGTGCCAGATTCTTGAGAGTGCCTCCTGGGGAGCCCTGGGAATTCCCAAGGCTCCCACCAATTCCCGGGTTCCTGGAAGGGCCTCCTAAGGAACCTTAGGAATTCTTGGCGATCCGACCACGTGCCAGATCCCTGAGAGGGCCTGTTGGGGAGTCTTAGGAATTCTGAAAGATCCATCTGGTTCCCAATTTCCAAGGAGGGAGTCCTGGGGACCCTTGGCGCCGCAACAGGTGGGGACCCTGCGAAATCCACAGCGCATTTGTGAGCACCTCCCGCGTGCACCACAGTGCGTGCGTTTACAACAAAGCTTGCGTGCACCTTCAAGGTCCCGGCGGAGCCAAACTCCAGAAAATTGTTGGGGGCCTGGACGCATCACATTCAATGTAAACCGATTGTGATTACTTCTTTTTGTGTCCCAAGGAACGCTCAGATATTTTGGGCCCACAATGTCTGTGTTCGCCATAACGATTTCGTACATCATAACGAATAGGAATCACAACGCCAGAGTGCAGCACAAAGCCTGTGTGCACCACAGTGGTCAGTGTGCACCACAACGCCAGCGTGCACCACAAAGCTTGTGTGCACCAAAGAGGGCCTGTTAGGGAATCCTAGGAATTCCTGTGGACCCTACCAAGTCCCAGATTCTTGAAGGGGCATCTAAAAAATCCTTCGGAATCCGTCAAGACCTGCAGCACCCCTGAAGATCTTTGAAAATCTGTCAGGACCCGCCATGGCCCATCGGATTGCTTCAGGACCCGACAGAATCCTGAGGGATCCTGGGGTGCCGCTACGGCGTCGGCCCGAATTTTGGCCGTCTTGGTGGCCAATGGGAAAGGTTACCCCAAGAACCCCTTCGGGATTCTAGTGGAGCCATGCCATGAATGCTGCGACACGAAATTGAGGCGTGAAACTGTATTCTTTTGTATTTCTTAATGAAAAGGATTTAATATGGACTGTTGCCTAATCGTGATTCGTGCGCGAAGGTGGGGTGTGGTGTAACCGACACGAGAGTGGGGTGTGAAACTGACGTTTTCCTTAATTCTCCTATATGGGTCCACGAATGTCGCCTTACACTCTAAAATGTACGAAGGTGGTGTTTGGCCGTACGCGAGGACCAAGTGCAACCCCACTACCAGTACAACTACAACTACAACAACAACTACTACTGTTATTAATATTGTTAATTTGATTGTTATTATGATTATTATTATGACTATTCTTATTAATATTGTTCCCATTCCCTACCTAGGCTCTGCCTAGAAGGGTTCTTACCCTGTTTGCTTAAAGAGCCGGGCAGTGCAACCCGCCCCGGGCGGTTCCCCCGGCATCCGCCCCGTGGTTCCTCCAGTGACGTCCCCTTAGCTTAGCGTTGCTTATCTTATCTTAGCTTAGTTTATTTCATCTTAGCTTAGCTTAGCTTAGCTTCATCTTAGCTCAGGTTTATCTTAGCTTAGCTTACCTTCATCTTAGCGTCGCCGAGCTTTAGCATGGCAGAGCACAACATAGCATAGCAGAGCGTAGCACAGCACAGCGCAGCACAGCATATCATAGCAAAGCCCAGCATAGCACAGCATAGCGCAGCATAGCATAGCATAGCATAGCATAGCATAGCGCAGCACAGCACAGCACAGCATAGTATAGCATAGCGCAGCTTAGCATAGCATAGCATAGCATAGCATAGCATATCATAGCATAGCTTAGCATAGTACTGCGCAGCATGACATATCATAGCTTAGCTTAGCATAGCATAGCATAGCGCAGCATAACATAGCATAGCATAGCATAGCGCAGCATAGCATGGCATAGCATAGCATAGCATAGCAACTAATCCTGCTTTCCTAGGGGCTCCAACTTCTAGGTAGGGTCGCACTGGGGTAATTTGTATCATTATTATTACGATTGCTACGACGACGACGGTGACGACGACGACGACGACGACGACGACGACGACGACGACGACGACGACGACGACGACGACGACGACGACGACGACGACGACGACGACGACGACGACGACGACGACGACGACGACGACGACGACGACGACGACGACGACGACGACGACGACCGACGACGACGACGACGACGACGACGACTACTACTACTACTACTACTACTACTACAACTACTACTACTACTACTACTACTACTACTACTACTACTACTACTACTACTACTACTACTACTACTACTACTACTACTACTACTACTACTACTACTACTACTACTACTACTACTACTACTACTACTACTACTACTACTACTACTACTACTACTGCTACTGCTACTACTACTACTACTACTACTACTGCTGCTGCTACTACTACTACTACTACTACTACCAAATTGCTTTCAACACGCACCAAGATGGTATTATGTGTGGCCGCTTTCCTTGGGTGGGAATGCAACCCCTCAAAAGTTTCACACTTTTTCGTCGGCTAGGTAAGGAAGCCTTGACCTATTTCTTTCAGTTGACGGGCCAGCGCGTGCCACAGTAATACGCATCCGGCCGCGCGCCTGGTCACAGACACACAAACACCTAACGGGCCACGCAAACACGCAGTCGCCAGTGGCCATGGCCACACGCGGCGCCCTGCCCATTTCGGCGCACCCCTCACTCGTTTCGTGGCCCCACAGGGAATTCCACCGGAGGCCCTGCGTGGCCATGTCCACACACGGCCACCCCTCCTATCTCGGCGCGCCACTCACGCCTTTCGTGGTCCCACGAGGCGCTTTACCGAAGGCCCCGGCTGCCATGCTCGCATTCGGCCGCACCGCCCAGTTCGGCACATCCCTCGCACGTGTCGTGCCCTCATAGGGGCTCCGACGAAGCCCCTGGTGGCCATGCCTACGTGCGGCCGCCCCACCCAATTCTGCACACCTCTCACAAGGTTCGTGGTCCCATAGGGCGCTCCACCGAAGGTCCCAGTGGCCATGTTCGCATGCGGCCGCCCCGTCCATCTCGGCACATCCCTCACGCGTTCCGTGGCCGCAGAGGGGGTTCCACCGAAGGTGATACTCACAACGACGGTACCCGCAACTGCATCTGGTTGGGTCCTTCGCCAGGATAATGTCCCAACCATCCTGTGGTGTTGGTCTTCGTTTTGAAGAGACAGCCCCCCCGCGTCTCTTTCCTCCTTTCTCCTCCCCCTTCCTCCCTCCTCACATCCCTGCCCCTGCCTTCCGCATGTTCATGTCGGCACACCCGTTACATATTTCGTGGCCCCTTACGGAGCTCCCCCGAAGGCACCACTGGCAGGGTCCGCATGCGATTCCACCCCCGCATGTCGGCGCACCCCTCACCAGTTTCGTGGCCCCATGTGTGGCTCCACCGAAGGCACCAGTGGCAGGGTCCGCATGCGGTTCGATTTTCGATTTCGCCACACCCCTCACACGTTCCGTGGCCCCATAGGGAGCTCCAACGAAGGCGCTAGTTGCAGGGTCCGCATGCGTCCCCGCCGCCCAGTTCGGCACACACCTCGCACGTTTCGTGGCCCCAGAGGAAGCTCCAACGAAGGCACCAGTGGCAGGGTCCGCATTCGGTTCCACATTCCACCGTCTCGGCGCATCCCTCGCACGTTTTGTGGCCCCACCGAAGGCACCAGTGGCATGGTCCGAATGCCGTTGCACCCCTCATTTTCGGTGCGCCCCTCACACAGTTCGTCGTCCCATAGGGAGGTCCACCGAAGGCAGCATTGACTGGGTCCGCATTCGGTTCCGACTTCAACCAGTTCTTTGCATTCCTCACACGTTTCGTGGATATATATATATATATATATATATATATATATGGAGCTACGCCGCTGGCGCCAGTAGCATGGTCTGTATGCGGTTCTACCATGCACCCTTCATACGTTTCGTGGCCCCAGATGGGGGCTCCACTGAAGGCCCCGGTGACAGGGTCCGCGGGCGGTTCCTCCCCCCTTCATGTCGGCGTACCCCTCGCTTATTATTGGGGTCCTTCACCAGGGTTATTGTTTTCTTCTTCTCAGGACGTTAGAGGTCTGTGTGAGTTCAGCCCCCTCAGGTCTGGCGACGCCTTGCACGGCGCCGGCGTTCTCGCGGCTGCCGCCGTCGCCGTCGCCGCCATCGCCGTCGCCGCCATCCGCGTTCACGCCGTCCGTCTGGTCGCCAGTGCTACTGGTGCCTAACCCACGTCCGCGCGGCGCCCCGCGCGCGCAGCCCGTGGCGTCAAGGCTGCCAGGCTCCAAGAGGAGGCCGAGGCCCGCGCGGAGAGGTACGAGGAGCTGCTCCTCGTCGTCGCCGTCGTCGTCGTCGCCGCCGTCGTCGTTGTGGTCGCCTCCCACCTGGGGAGGGCCCCCATGTCCACTGCGGCGGGGGGGGTTGCCGGGGCGTCGAGGTGCTCGGGCTGGTCGGCGGGGGCTCGCCAATTTTTTATTTTTGTTCTGAAGCATCACTGTGGTGTTGGGTTCACGTTTTGAAGAGACAGCGCCCCGCGTCCCTTCCTCACTCACTCCTCCTCCCACTCCTCCCTCCTCCCCCGCTCCGCATGTCAACCCGTTTCGGCACACCCCTCACACGTTTCGTGGCCCCATAGGGAGCTCCACCCAAGGCCCAAATGGTACCGTCCGCATGCGTCCCCGCCACCCGTTTCGGCACACCCCCCACACGTTTCATGGCCCCTTAGGGAGCTCCACCCAACGCCCAACTGGTGCTGCCCGCATGCGTCCCCGCCACCCATGTTGGCACACCCCTCACACGCTTCGTGGCCCCATAGAGGGCTTCACCCAAGGCCCAAATGGCGCCGTCCTCATGCGTCCCCGCCGCCCATCTCGGTACACCCCTCACACGTTTCATGGCCCCAGAGGGAGCTCCACCCAAGGCCCAACTGGTGCTGCCCGCATGCGTCCCCGCCGCCAAGTTCGGCACACATCTCACACGTTTCGTGGCCCCATAGGGAACTCCACCCAAGGCCAAAATGGTGCCGTCCGCATGCATCCCCGCCGCCCGTTTCGGCACACCCCTCACACGTGTCGTGGCCCCATAGGGAGCTCCAACGAAGGCGCTAGATGCAGGGTCCGCATGCGTCCCCGCCGCCCAGTTCGGCACACCCCTCGCACGTTTCGTGTCCCCATAGGGAGCTCCACCGGAGGACCCAATGGTGCCGTCCACATGCGTTCCCGCCGTTCAAGGCGGCACACCCTCACACGTTTCGTGGCCCCATGGGGAGCTCCACCAGAGGCCCCAATGGTGCCGTCCGCATGCGTCCCTGCCATCCACTTCGGCACACCCCTCACACGTTTCGTGGCTCCATGAGGAGCTCCACCCAAGGCCCAAATGGTACCGTCCGCATGCGTCTCCGCCGTGCAAGTCGGCACACCCCTCACACGTGTCGTGGTCCCATAGGGAGCTCCACCGAACGCCTCAGTGGCGGTGTTCGCATGCGCCACCGCACCTGATTCGGGACACCGCTCACACCTTTCGTGGCCCCATAGGGAGCTCCACCCAAGGCCCACATGGTGCCGTCCGCATGCGTCCCCGCCACCTATTTTGGCACACCCCTCACGCGTTTCGTGAAGAGGCCCCGCCACTTAGTTCGACACGCCCCTCGCACGCTTCGTGGCCCCAGAGGGAGTTCCACCCAATGCGCCAATGGCGTCGTTCGCATGCGTCCCCGCCACCCACAACAGCATACCCCTCACACGTTTCGTAGCCCCGTAGTGAACTCCGCCCAAGGCCCGAATGGTGCCGCCCGCATGCGCCCCGCCGCCCGTTTCGGCACACCCCTCGCACGTTTCGTGGCCCAACAAGGAGCTTCACCGAAGGCTTAAGCGGCACCCTCCGCATGCGTCCCCGCCACACATTACGGCGCACCTCGTACACGTTTGTCCCCCCGTGGGGAGTTCTACCGAAGGCTGTGGCGACGTGTGCATGCGGTTCCCCACCCATTTCGGCACATGCTTCACACAGTTCATGGCCCCACCGGGAGCTCCACCCAATGTCCCAGTGCCACCGTTCGCATGCGTCCCCCCACCCATCGCCTCACATGTTTCCCACCGTTCGTGGCCCCACAGGCAGCTGCACCCAAGGCCCCATGAGGAGTTCCTCTGAAGGCGATATTCTGATGACAGTGCTCACAACTGCATATGGTTGGGCTCCTCGCCAGGATAATTGTTGTTGTGTGCTTTTGTGTAACATGTTGTTCCCAACCATCCTGTGGTGTTGCGTTCTCGCGTTCCTTCCTTGCGTTCTTGCGTTGAAGAGGCAGCGCCCCGCGTTCCTTCCTTCATTCCTTCCGTCCGTCCTTCCTTCTGTCCTTCCTCCATTCCTTCCTTCCTCCTCCCCCTCCTCCCTCCTCCCCTGCGTGCCTCTGCTCTCCGCATAGTTCTACCATCTCGGCACACCTCTCACGCCTCGTAGGGAGCCCCACAGAATGCCTCAATGGTGCCGTCTGCATGCGCCCCCGCCGTTCAAGTCGGCACACCCCTCACACGTTTCGTGGCCCCACAGGGAGCTCCACCGACCGCCCCAGTGGCGGTGTTCGCATGCGCCCCCGCTCCCGATTCGGGACATCGCTCACGTTTCGTGGCCCCATAGGGAGCTCCACTGAAGGCCCCAATGGTGCCGTCCGCATGCGTCCCCGCCGTTCAAGTCGGCACACCCCTCACACGTTTCGTGGCCCCGTAGGGAGCTCCACCGAAGTCCCCAGTGGCCGCGTTCGCATGCGTCCGCCCCTCGCAGTAGACCGTTTCGTGGCCCCATAGGGAGCTCCACCGAAGTCCCCAGGGGCGATGTTCGGATGCGTTTTCCCCTACCCAGTACAGCGTTTCTGGCCCCACAGGGAGCTCCACCAAAGGCCCCAGAGGCAACGTTCGCATGTGTTCCTCCCGCCCAGTGCAGCGTTTCGTGGCCCCATGGGGAGCTCCACCGAACGCCCCAGTGGCCGCGGCCACATGCTCTTTCCACAACTAGCACAACACTTCGTGGCCCCATAGTGAGCTCCACCGAAGACCCTAGTGACCGCGGCCGCATGCGTCTCCTACACCTAGTATATTGTTTCGTGGCCCCATAGGGAGCTCCACGTTTGTCCCCGGTGGCCGCGGCCGCATGCATCTCCCCTACCTAGTGCAACGCTTCGTGGCCCCATAGGGAGCTCCAGTGGCCGCGGCCGCATGCGTCCCCCCACCCAGTACAGCGTTTCGTGGCCCCATAGGGAGCTCCACCGAAGACCCCAGTGACCGCGGCCGCACGCGTCTCCCCCACCCATAACGGCACACTCCTAACACGTCTCGTGGCCTCACACGGAGTTCCACCGAAGGCGGTACCCAAAACGCGGTACTCACAATTGTATATGGTTGGGTCCCTCGCCTGGATAGTTTTTGATGTTTTTGTTGCAGTTGTTTGTCCTCTTCTCCGAGGAGCAGGCATGTCCAAGGGATCTCCTCCTCCTCCTCCTCCGCGCCTCTCCCGCGCATCGTCGTCTTCGGACGGCCCGCGGCTTCCTCGATCCTCTACACTCCGCTCCTAGACCACCTCGCGGCGCTGCAAACCAAAATCACGGCGGACAGTCTTCTTGGTAAGTTTCTGGCTCCTGAGGGCCCTCACCTGGCCCGAGGATCGTCAAATAACTGCCCAGGATGGGGAAGGGGTCGAGACCCAACCGGCACGTAACGGGGCTCAGCGCCTTCGGAGAATCAGCCAGAGCGCCAGATCTTGCAGGATTTTTCTAAGCTAGATTTTGACCGAGTCGGGTTGGGAAGCCGCTCGCGGCCCTTGGTGGCCTCACATATTGGCTGAGCCAGGCTTGGGAAGCCCGCCAAACATTGCAGCGCAGTTTCTCGTTATGGGCTGAGCTCGGTTTGCGCTCAGCCGGGCAACAGTGGAAACCCATGCCAAGAAACACCCTGCTTGCTTCCAGGGCGCCCTGGGCTTCTTGAGTTTCGATGATCTTGTTATGGAAAGCGTGACGTTCCCACACCAAAATTCAATGGACGTCCTGGGGTCTCAGGGTTGGGTTTCTTGAGAAAGGTTTCTTGTGGTCGAGCTACTACTGCAGTCCATGCCCGAGGGACCTGGGGATCCAGATTGTGGAACAAGCATGCGACGTCGGAGGTCTGCACCGCAGGTGCTTCGCGTCCGATCAGCAACGTTCGCCCGCAAGCGCCTGCGGATCGGCTTCGGCATCCAGGCGACAGCGGCGCCCCAGTGGCGCCCAGTGGTCAGGATTTCCTGTCGTCAGGCTGTCTGTCTCCTGTCCTGGTCCACGCCCGCACGCCCGCAGCCAGCCCAGCGTGGTTCGGTGCATTTTTGCACCCTCGGCGAGCGCGGTGTCCTCGAGAACCTTTCGGATTGCCGTCTGCCTGCGCCCTGGCAGGACCGCATTGAGCAGCCTGTGGGCCGCTCCTTCGCATGACTCATGCAAGGAGTCTTGGCCGCCACACCAGCGTGCAGAACTACACGTCCTGAGCGCCTCACTCGCCGGCAATCCCCTCTCCGCGGCCGTCCTCTTCTTCTCCCGCCTTCTTGGTGTTAGTTTGCCGTCTCGCAACCCGGCCTAGGCCTTCCCGCGCTGGGCGATTGCCAGCGCCGCGACAAAAATAGCTTGGCTCCTCCTCCTCCTCTCCTCCTCTTCAAAGAAGAAGGACCGAGGACAGTGGTCTGCAGCGCTCCATTTATTCCGCGAAGAGCCCCACCAATGTGCGGAAATCAGCGCAGGCCGCTTCATGGCGACTGGTAGCGAATGCGGAAAAATCAGGCAGTGGCAGCAGGCGTTTGCTGCTTATTGGTGACATGATTAAGCGAAGTCGAAGCCCGACGAAACGAAGTTTCATGGTTGGGATCCGGGCGTGCGTTTTGTCATTTGAGGTAGCTCTGGTTCCGTTTGGGAGGCTCCTCTCGGGCTGTGCCGCCGATCTGGGTGCTCCCAGGCCCATAGGGTCGCTCCCAGTCGGCGGCACATTGGACGCTCCAGCAAGGCCTCGCCTTCGAGGAACGAAGGAGTTGTCGTTTCTTCCTCGGCGGAGGGCGGCGGAAGACTGGCGGAAGTAAACATAGATCTCTCAAGAGATGCGCATTTTTTGGGTTGAGGGTTTCCGGAATCGGTTACATGGCCTCAGAGTTTGTGCGAGTGCGCCCGGGTGCGTGCCGACGGCCTGAGAGTGGCTCTGGCGCGGCGGTTGGGCGACGTGGCCCCACAAAGGAAACGAGGACATCCATTGGATTTTTCAGTTTTTTCCCACCCATCCAGTGGTGGGCCCTCGTTTTTAATAGACAGCGCCTCGCGTACTTCTTCTTCCTGCTCCTCCTCCTCCCCCTCTCCTCCTCCTCCTCCTCCTCCTCCTCCTCCTCCTCCTCCTCCTCCTCCTCCTCCTCCTCCTCCTCCTCCTCCTCCTCCTCCTCCTCCTCCTCCTCCTCCTCCTCCTCCTCCTCCTCCTCCTCCTCCTCCTCCTCCCCTCCACCCCTACTCGAGTTTGCGAACATCGCTAGACAACACACAGATCGCAAAGGAGTTTGGGCTTCTTAGGCCAGCCCAGGGGCCTCCAAGACGACTCACGAGACCTTCAAGACAGGCACAATGCGGCCCCGTGGGGCCATCTTAAGACATGTGGGACGTGTGGGCTCCCAACCACGCGACCCAGGCCCCTTGGAAAAGTCATGTGGTAGTCACGGGAGATCCCGGGAACGTCCAGGACTTCCATGGGAATGCCAAGGGACTCGAGGACACTCATTTCGTGCCTCTCGACACGGTGGTGGATGATGCTGGGATCGGTGCGTGCGAGGTCCAACGAGTGGCAAATGGCGGGCCGAGACGCCTCTGGAAAGCGCAAAATGGCGTCAAGGTGGATGAGCGCGCGTTGGCTCGCGGGCCCGCTGAAGAGGAGGGTCCTCCTCCTATTATTCGTCGCTAGTCGTCTCCTCCTCCCCTGTCAACGCCCTCCTTCTCCCTCCTCCTACTCATTATCATCATTCTCCTCCTTCCTCCTCCCTCCTCCCTCCCTGCCTCCTGCGTACTCTTTCCTTCCTCCTCCGTAGGCTTAAGCCATTCTGGGCTCGAGCAGTCCTGGGATGCAGGACCTCCACAGAGGATCTCGACCGTGCGTTGGTGCCTTGGATGCAACACTAAAGAAGCATGGCGCGACAACACAAGGTAACACAGTTCTGCAAGTGACTCGCGAAGCATCTCAATCATGTGTGAAAGGCCAGCGCGATCACGTCGCGGCCATCAGTGCATTCGGCAAAGGCAGGCAGTGGCAACGAGCACTGTCGCTTCTCGGCGAACTGTCCCAAGCCACAGTGGAGGCCAACATCATCACGTACAACGCTGGGATCAGTGCGTGCGAGAAAGGAAAGCAGTGGCAGCAGGCCCTGTTGCTTCTGGGCGAGATCTGCGAGGCGAAGTTGGAGCCCAGCGTCGTCAGCTACAATGCTGCGATCAGCGCGTGCCAGAAAAGCAAACAGTGGCAGTGGGCCCTGTTTCTGCTCAGCGAGATGCGGCAATCGAAGTTCAAGCCTGACGTCACCTCTCTTCCATTGCTTGACTTTGTTCGTGCCAGAGGGGCAGGAACTTTCAGATTTGAAGATCGGCCCAGTCAGCCGTGGCCGCCCACCCGGAGGACTCCAAGACCCGATCGGGAGCCCTCCAAGATGACATGACCCAACAGGCTCCCAAGAAGGCCCAAGAGTAGGTCCTCAGAGAGGCCCCAGGAGGGCCCCAGTTGAGACCCGAAGATGCTTCGAGAGAGGCCCCAGGCAGCATGCAACCATTGAAACACCTGATGTGTTTCAATGCTTTTCGCTGTCCAGGCTTTCTGGCCCTAGCTGGTTTCAGGAGCGCCCCGAGACGACCCAATCATGTTTTTTGGGGCCAAAGCACAGCCCAGGAGAGCCATAAGACGGGCTGAGGTTGCCCCCAGGGGGCGCCGAGTCGGCCGACGAAGGCATCTTCAGGATTTGTGTTCGAAGACGGCTTCAGTGGGCTTCAAGAGCTGCCCATGACAGCCAAGAGGGCCTCCGCGCAGCCGACGGTGGGCCTCATTGGCACCCCTGCTGTGTGAGCAGGCCGTATTTTAAGAGGGCCCCAAGTCATCATCATCTTTACAATGCCAGGGTAACTGCGTGCGAGAAGGGTGGGGACCGATGGACTGGCCTCGGGGTGCACCCGGAGGGCCTCAGGAGGCGTCAGGAAAGGCTCAAGAGAGCCTCACATGGCCTTAAGACTGCCCGAGCTGGCCCGAGACGCCTTCAGACGGTCCAAGAGGTCGCCAATATTGTGTTCAAACGGCTCAACGGGGCGGCCCAAGCGAGCTCCAAAAGGCCCCCCAAGGGGGCCCAGAGATACCCAAATCATTGATGTCAATGCTGTTTTGACGGATTTCGACGTTCTCGATTGCGAAGGCCTGACGGCCGGTGCCGCCGACCCTGAAGAGGACCACGACGTCGGCGACGAAGTGGGCGGAGACGGAGGCCGTGGAAGATGATGATGATGACGAGGAGGAGGAGGAGGAGGAGGAGGAGGAGGAGGAGGAGGAGGAGGAGGAGGAGAAGGAGGAGGAGGAGGAGGAGGAGGAGGAGGAGGAGGAGGAGGAGGAGGAGGAGAGGGAGGAGGAGGAGGAGGGAGGGAGGAGGAGGAGGAGGAGGAGGAGGAGGAGGAGGAGGAGGGAGGAGGGAGGGAGGAGGAGCGTGGAGGTGGAGGTTTGGAGCAGGAGGCAGAGGAGGAGGGGGAGGGGGGAGGAGGAGGAGTTTGACGGATTTCGACGTTCTCGATTTGTCGGACGTCCAATGCTCTAATGCCGGCCAAGAGGCTCCCAATATCGCCCCCCCACCACGGCGAATCGGGCCCCCAAGAAGGCCCTCCGAGAGCCCAAGAGGGCCTCAAGACGGCCCAAGAGGCCCCCAAGATGGCCCATAACGGTCCCGAATGGGACCCCAGACGGCCCCAAGAGAGGGAACTGGAACTGGCATGTCGCATCCTCCGCCCCAAGATGACCTCTGAGGTCGCCAGCAAGCCGAAGAGGCCCTCCAGAAGCCCCAGGCGGCCCTTAAGAGGCCCAGAGCAGGCCCCACGAGGCCCCCGACGCCCAGAAGCCGCCTCCAAGGTGATTCCGAGGGAAGCTCCCTCAGAGAGCTCTGCGATCGTGCCAGCCACCCAACAGGGACCCATAGGTGACCCAAGATGAGACCAGATGTTCGGCCACACGCGCGTCGAGGTCATTGAGACATTCGTGTGCTGCCCTCTTCTCATGCCTCCCTTCTCGCTCCTTGCTCCTCGCTCCTGACCGCTCTCTCGTCGCTCCTCACCTCTCCTCGCTCCTGGCTCCTCTCTTCTTACTCCTCCTCGGTTCTCCCACCTCTCTCCTTGCCTCTCCCTTCTCTCTCTCTCTCTTGGCTAATGGCGTCTGCCTCCCCCTCCTTCGGCTCTCCCTCATCACTCCTTCCCTCTTTCTCTCTCTCTCTCTATATATTCTCGATTGTTGCTCCTCCCTCATCGCTCCTTGCTCCTCGCTGATCGCTGCTCGCTTCCTCCCCCCACTCGACCCTGACTCCTTCCCCCTCGCTTCTCGGCCCACTCACGAGCTGCAGGTTGCATCAGCTGGCAAGGGGACCAAGAAGCAGCACTCTGCAGCCCCAAGCAGCAACAGCGACCAGCAGCAGTCCACAGCAAACACTAGCAGCACACAGCAAAAGTCAGCAGCAGCAATTTGCCGCAGGCAGCAGCAAGCTTCAGCTGCAGGCAGCCACAGCAGAGGCGAAGTTCGGGCCCAACGTCATCACGAAAGTCTTTCGGCAACATCTCTGCCCTGGCCCCATGTGTCATCTCGGACAGAATTCGTGGCCAGTAGGCCACGGGTCAGTCCCAGTCTACCCTACAACGCCGGGGGAACCGCATGCCAGAGGGAAAATGTTTCAAAAGGCTCAGATCCGGCCCCAACTCGCTCCAGGCTCCCCTCGGCGGGTACCAAGACGGCCCAAGCGGGCCCAAATATTGTCCAATATGACCCGAGACGCCTCCAGACGGTCCAAGAGTTGGCCAGTCTGGCATTCAGACGGCCTTATTGGGCCGCAAGACGGCCCAAGAGGGTTCCAAGAGCTCCCCAAGAAGTCCCGAGATGCCAAAGTCAATCATTTCCGTTGGGTTTTGAAGGGTTTCAACGTGCTCGCCTTTTCGGATTCTCGACGCTGCAAGGCGGCCCCAAAGGCTCCCAATATCGCGCTACGACAGCCCAAGAGACCCACAAGAAGGCCCCCAGACGGCCCAAGAGAGCCCCGAGACGGCCCAAGAGGCCCCCAAGACGGCCCAAATCGGCCCCAAGATGACCCCAAGAGTGTGAACTCGAACTGACATGTCGTGCCAACCGCTTCAGGATGATTCCAGAAGCCCCCGAGAGGCCCCCCAGAAGCCCCAGGAAGCCCCCAAGAGGCCAAGAGTCCCAAATCAGGCCCCAAGAGGCATCCGAGGCCCCTAGTCAACCCCCCAAACCGCCTCCAAGAGAAGATTCCTCAGAGAACTCTGGGACCGCGCCAGCCACCCACGAAAATAAGGCGCCCATGCGCCTCTTCTTTTCTTCCGCGTCTTTGGGTAGGCTCCAGCCTGAATGGGCGACTCGTCGGGAAGTTCTCCCTGAGAGTGCTCCAGGCAGGCCAGCCATCGGGGGCATGCTTCGCAGTGCCCTCGAAGTTCTCCCGAGCTCACGCAGCCCGCCTGCATCCTCCGACCTCCTCGGGCGGCCACAGCCACCATGGAACATGGTTAGAAAAGAAGGCCCACTGTTGCTTCAGAGTTTGCAGCCTTGGCCCTAATACGGCCTCAAGCTGGCGCAAGATCATCCTGGGGCGGCCCCACCCCCCCCAGAATCCGGACGGCAGCAGCACGAAACACGAAGCGGGCAGCAGTAGCGGCAGCGCGGCAGCATGCAACAACAGCAAGCATCATCATCATCATCATCATCATCATCATCATCAGCATCATCAGCATCATCATCATCATCATCAGCAGCAGCAGCAGCAGCATCAGCAGGTAGCGGTCAGCAGCACGTACCAAGCACACGTGGCCATCAGCAGCACCCAGCAGCCACAAGCATCAACGACATGCAGCAGCGGCAAGCAGTACCAACAGCAGACAACAGCGGCAGTAAGCAGCAGCACGCAGTACCATGCGCCAAATGCGAGGGTCGAGCCCCGTGTACTTTCGCATTTCGGCAGCATGTCCACAATCACGTGCTGGTTCGTGCAGATTTCGTGGACGGAGTCCACGGGTCAGCCTTAGTCTTTTCTACAAAGCCGGGGGTCGCACGTGCGAGACGGGTTGGGGATCCAATGAACCCAAACCGGCCCTGGCTGGCCCCGAGGGTCTCCAGGACGGCTTCTGAGGGCCTCAAGACAGCCCAAGATGGTCCGATACGCCCCCGGTCGCCAATATGGCTTTCTGACGGCCCCACGGTGCCGGAAGACGGCCCAAGAGGGCTCCGAGAGGCCTCCAAGCAAGCAGGACCCTGAGAGGCCAAAGTCATTGATTTCCCAGGGTTTTTGAAGGGTTTCAACGTTCTCGCCTTTTCGGAGTCTCCACGCTCCAAGCTGGCCCCAGGGTCCCCAAGAGCGCGCCAAGATGGCCCAAGAGGCCCCGCAGAGAGCTCCCAGACAGCCCAAGAGGACCCCATGACGGCCCACGATGACCCCTAAGATGGCCTAAGACGGCCCCAAGAGGGTCCCTCGAGGGGGAATTCGGAGTAACATTTCGCGCCCTCCGCTACAGGATGATCCCAGAAACCGCCAGCCAGCCCCCAAGAGGCCCCCCAGACGCCCAAGAAGGCCCCACAGTGCTGGAAGACGGCCCAAGAGGGCTAGAAGAGGCCCCCAAGAAAGGAGAGGCCAAGATCATTTTTTCCGTCGTTATTGAAGGGTTTCAGCGTCTTGCCGTTTTGGAGTCTCCACGCTCCGAGCCGGCCCCAGGGTCCCCAAGAGCGCGCCAAGATGACCCAAGAGACCCTGCAGAGAGCTCCCAGGCAGCCCAAGAGGGCCCCAAGACGGCCCAAGAGGCCCCCAAGACGGCCTAAGACGACCCCAGGGGGCCCCACGAGGGGGAACTCGAACTGATATTTCGCGCCCTCCGCTCCAGGATGATCCCAGAAACCGCTAGCTAGCCCCCAAGAGGCCCCCCAGACGCCGCAGAAGGCCCCGCACTGCCAGAAGACGACCCAAGGAGGCCCGAAGAGGCCCCCAAGGAGAGCCTCGAGAGGCCAAACTCATTGGTTTCCCTTTGGTTTTTGAAGGGTTTCAGCTGTCTCGCCTTTTCAGAGTCTCCACGCTTCAAGCCAGCCCGGGGCTCCCAAGAGCGCGCCAAGATGGCCCAAGAGGCCCCGCAGAGAGCTCCCAGACAGCCCAAGGGGGCCTCAAGACGGCCCAAGATGATCCCAAGATGGCCTAAGACGGCCCCAAGAGGGCCCAACGAGGGGGAACTCGAACTGATAGTTCGCGCCCTCCGCTCCAGGATGATATCCCAGAAACCGCCAGCTGGCCCCCCAGACAGACGTCCCAGAAGGCCGCCCTCCCAAGAGGCCCAAATGAAGTCCTAAGAGACGCTCGAGAGGCCGCAAGACACCCCCAAAGCCGTCTTCACGAGGCTTCCGAGGGAAGGTCTCTCACAGAGCTCTGGGACCGCGCTGGCCGCCCAGGAAAATATGGCGCCCATGCGCCTCTTATCCCCCAATTAGAGCTTGCTTCTGTAGGGGTCCTAGCGGATTCATATGGTTTGGTTAGCTGTGGCGCCGATTTCGGCGGCACGCCTGGGTGCCCGGGTGCCCAGGTGCCCGGGTGCCCTGGTGCCCAGGTGCCCAGGTGCCGGGGTACCCTGTAGCCCTATAGCCCTATAGCCCTATAGCCTTATAGCCTTGTAGCCTTATAGCCCTATCGTCCTATGTCCCTGTAGCCCTCTAGCTCTAATAGCCATATAGCCCTATAGCCCTACAGCCCCAATAGCCTTATAATCCTGTAGCCCAATAGCCCTATAGCTGTATAGCGCTATAGCCGTGTAGCCCTGTAGCCCTATAAGCCTATAGCCCTATAACCAGATAGCCCTACAGCCCCATCGCCCCACAGCTCCATAGCTCGATAGCCCTATAGCCCTATTGTCCTATAGCCCAATCGCCCTATGGCCCTATATCCCTTGTAACCCTGTAGCCCTATAGCCTTGTAGCCTTATAGCCCTATAGCCCTGTAGCCCCATAGCTCTATATGCCTATAACCCTATAGTCCCACAGTTCTATAGCCCTATAAACCTATAGCCCTATGGTCCTATAGCCCCATAGCCCTATAGCTCTAAAAAGATCATGATTGGGTTTTCTCTCCAGTATCATGTTCTCCCCTCCTTCGCAAATGCTCCGGTCAGAATGGGCGACTCGTCTGGGAATCCTTTCTGAGAGTTCTCCGGACAGGCTGGTCATTCGGGGCATGCTCCGCAGTGCCTTCGATCTTCTCCCCAGCACACGCAGCCCGCGCGCATCCTCTGACCTTCTAGGGTGGCCACAGCCACCATGGAACATGGTTAGAAAAGAAGGCCCACTGTTGCTTCTCAATTTCCAGCCTTGGCTCTAATACAGCCTCAAGGTGACTCAAGATCATTCTGGGGCGGCCCAAAACGTCGCCATTACCCAAAGGCAGCAGCGCGAAACATGAGGCAGGCAACAATAGCGTCAGCGCACCGCAACAGCAAGCAGCAGCATCAGCAGCAGCAGCAGCAGCAGCAGGTAGCGGTCAGCAACACGCACCAATCAGACGTGGCCATCAGCAGCACCCTTCAGCCACAAGCAACAACGACACGCAGCAGCGGCAAGCATTCCCAACAACTTCCAACAGCGGCAGCAGTGAACACCACGCAGAGGCATGTGCCGAATGCGAGGGGCGAGCCCCACGTGGTGATGATACACCGAGAGGCCCCCACACGCTTCACCCCGCAAGTCGACGTAGTCCACGGGTCAGCCCTAGTCTCTTCTCTATGGCAGACGGAGGCGCGTGCGAAAAGGTCGTGCACCTTGCCCTCCCTGGAGGGCCATTTTTCGACACCCCTCACGCAGATAGGCCCCCGAGGCCCCCAACAAGGCCCACGAGGCCCCCTAGAGGACCCCACCAAGGCTCTAGAGGCCTCCAACAGCCTCCAACCTGCTCACCTTCTCGGCTAGCCGACCCACAAAAGACCGCCCCAGGACGGCCCAACAGGCCTCCAAGCGCGTCCCCAGACGGCCCAGGGAGCCCCAACATGGCCCAAGAGGCGCCCGAGACGGCCCCAGAGGACCCCAAGCCAGCCAGGCCCAAGAGCGGACCGCCCCAGGACGGCCCAAGAGGCCTCCAAGCGCATCCCCCGACGGCCCAGGGAGCCCCAAGATGGCCCAAGAGGCGGGACAAAAACCCTGACACTCCGAGTCCTGGGCCCCCATACGCCCACAAAAGGCCCCAAGGCCCTCCCAAGAGGCCGCCAAGAGCCTCCAGCAGTTCTCCGAAGCATGTCCCCAGATGCCACCATCCTTTATGTTTTATTGTTTTTCAAGGAGTTTTGCCTTCTCGCCTTCTCGGCTAGCCGACGCTCCAAGACGGCCGAATACACCCACAAGACCGCCCTTGCCTTCTCGCCTTCTCGGCTAGCCGACGCTCCAAGACGGCCGAAGACACCCACAATATCGCCCCAGGACGGCCCAACAGGCCTCCAAACGCGTTCCCCAGACGGCCCAGGGAGCCCCAAGATGGCCCAAGAGGCGCCCAAGCCGGCCCCAGAGGACTCCAAGCCAGGACCCCCAGGAGGGACCCAAGAGGCAAACATGTATCCTTCGCTTTGGAAAACGTGCATTTTTGATATGCTCGCTCTTTTCGTCTTCACCGCGTCCAGGAAGGCTATACAGGCCTTCCCGATCGCCCTAAGACATCCCACAGCACCCCAGGAGGGCCCCCAAACGGCTATACAGGCCCTCCACCTCGCCCCCAGACGCGCCCAGAGGCCCCCAAAGGGCCCCACACGGCCTCGACAGCCCAGGACGCACCCAAGACAGCCCCAAGAGCAGCCAAGAATGGCCAACGGGACGGCTCCGAGAGGCTCCAGGGGGCGCCAAGACGGCCGCAGAGCACCCTTGGGAGCCCCAAGGCATCCCCAGAGGCCCCCAAAGCAGGCCAGGAGGCTCCCAAGACGGCCCAGGAGGGCTTCCAGGAGAGCCCCAAGAGGCCCAAATCGTTGCATTCCCGACGGGAAACGCACATTTTCGCAATGTTCCGTTTTTTTCGTCCTCGCAGCGTCCAAGATGGCTATAGATGCCCTCCACCTCGCCCCAGGACGCGCCCAGAAGCCCCGAAAGGGCCCCATACGGCCCCGGGACGGCTCCAGAGGCGCCCGAGGCGGCCCAGGACGCACCCAAGACAGCCCCAAGAGCAGTCAATAATGGCCCAAGACGGCTCCACCGCCCCGTCTCCGCGACGGCTGTAGAGACCCCGCCGCCCCGTCTCCAAGCCTTTCCGTTTGGACAGTCTCCGAGACGGTCTTTGGGCCGTCCGGGACGGCTCCAGAGGCGCCCGAGACGGTTCAAGAAACACCAAAGACAGCCCCAGTAGCGCCCAATATTGGCCCAAGATGGCCCCAAGATTGTCCCAAGATGGTCCGAGAGGCGCCCAAGACGGCCCCACATCGCCCCAAGACGGCCCAAGATGTTTTCAAGACTGCCAAAGAGGGCTCCGAGAGACCCACCCCGAGGAGGACGAAACGAGGCCCCCAAGCGGCACCCGAGAGGCCTTGGATGCTTCTCTCTTGGGGAGCGTCGAACTTCCAGCATCGTTTTGGAGGCTTCTTGGACCCTCTGGGAGCCATCTCTGCGCTATTTTGGGACGTCTTGGGGAGGTGCGCTCGAAAAGTCGATTCGTGTCCTCGCATTGGGGCCCTTCTTAGGGAATTCCGTCTCGCCGCCCTTTTGCGGGCCTCCTACGCCGCGCCCACTGGCCCCATTGTCACCACACTACCAGATGAAATTATCATTCGGGCCCGGCGAAGAGCAGATAAACTTCTCACGGCTACCTTCCCCGCAGAAGCTATGATGAACACAGACTGCGGCGTCAGAAACAGCTTCTGTCCACACCATGTCATGCCTACATGGGTGTGCTTCCACTGACACCGCCTCCACCACCGCGTTCCTGCCTTTAGGCCTGCTTGCCTGCATCCCTTGCCCACCTTCCCCTCCAGCGGCCACCTCCTCCATCCACGCCGTCCCCTCCAACCTCCCCTTACCCGCGAGGCCCCAGAGACGCTCCACTTCCACGTCCACGCCAGGGCGAGCAAATTCCGCGGCCGGACGCCGCGGGTCAGCCCTAGTCAGCTACAGTGCCGGGATTAGCGCATGCGAGAAAGGCGAGCAGTGGCAGCAGGCTTTGGCGCTGCTCAGCGAGATGTGGGAGGCGAGGCTGGAGTCCAACACCATTTCTCAGATATGGTCAGTATGGGTGCGTACCAGAGGGGTGGGCACCGGGACGCGGCTCAAGTGGCCCAAATTTCTCTCGGCGGGCTCTGGCGGGCCCTGGCGGACCCTGGCTCCGAGACGGTTTCAAGATGGCCCGAGACGCCTCCAGACGGCCCTAGAAGTCGCCAATATGCTTTTCAGATGGGAGGGTCGAGGGCCCGAGAGGCCAACATCATTTATTGCGAAGGCCTTACGGCCAGTGCCGCTGACCCTGAGGTTGGGGAGGAGGGCGCGGAGCATGGGGAGGAAAATGAGGAGGGGGACAGGAGGAAGAGGTGAATGAAGAGGAGTAGGAGCACAGGGGGGGAATGAATAGGAGGAGAGTGAGGCGAGCAGGGTCGCGGGGGGGCACGAAGGAAGGGCAGGGGCGAGTAGAGCGTGGCGATCATGAGGAGGAGAAGGAGGGAGATAATGGCGAGGATGTTGACGATGTTGACGACGACGCCCCGAGAGGCCAACATCATTTCTTTTCCTCGTTTTTTTCGAGTGATTTGACATTTTCGCTTTTTCTGGCTTCCGACGCTCCGAGGCGCCCAAGGCGCTCCAAGATCGCACCCCACCACGACCCAGCGGGCCCCCAAAAGGGCCCCCAGACGCCCCAAGAGAGCCCGCCCCAAGACCGCTCAAGCGGCCCCCAAGACGGCTCAAGAGAGCCCAAGAGAAGGGGAACTCGACCTGACATTCCGCGTCCTCCGTCCCAAGATGACCTTCGAGACCGCCAGCAGGCCTCCAAGAGGCCCCCCAGAAGACCCACGAAGCCCCCAAGAGGCTCAAATCAGGCCCCAAGAGGCCCCCGAGAGGCCTCCAGACCTCCAAAACCGCGTCCAAGAGGCTTCCGACGGGAGATCCCTTACAAAGCTCTGGGGCCGCGGCAGCCACCCAGAAATTCGACACCCAAGCGCTTCTTTTTTGCTTCCCTTCGTTGCAGCGGCTTCGGTCTGACTAGGCAACCCGTCGGGGAGTTCTCCCTGAGAGTGCTCCGTAACCGCCGGCCACTGGGGGCATGCTCCGCAATGCTTTCGCCTTCTTCTGAGCCTACGCAGCCCCAGGCACCCCCTCTCGCAGCCCCTTTGACCCCCCGAAGGCTCAGCTGGGCTCCAAGGTATTCCAAGAAGAAGACATGAGAAGGCCTAGATTCAGCCCAGGAGACCCCCGCTACAGCTTTCGGAAGCAAGCAGTAGCAATCAGCAGCAGCAAGCAGCAAGCCAGCAAGCCAGCAGGCAAGCAAACAAGCAGCAAACAACAAGCAAGCCAGTCAGCAAACACGCTGCAAGCAGAACGCCAGCAACAAGCCAATCCATTCAGGCAAACTCTTCGCAAGCAGCACTAGCAGCAAGCGGTCCAAATAAACAAGCAGCACACATCGACTCCTCGAGCCTCCAACCCAATGCCCCTTCAAAATCGACGAAATCCCTTAGGAATCGGCCTCTGGACCCTGGGGGGGTCTGTCCAGACTGGTCTCTCACCCCAGATTTGTAGTTTGGCTGAGGGGGTTCGAACGGGCCTTATGTTGAGATAATCAAAAGTTTGGAAATAGTTCGAGGCCAATGCGTTTACAAAGTTCGAGTGCAATGTTGCTAGAATCCTGAAGTTCGAAAAAGTTTGGATCAAGTCCGGCGGCGAAGCAGTTCCGATCGGATTGGGCTAGGACGAGGATAGTTCCGTTCCAGGGCGTTCCAGAACGCTCTCAGAGCGTTCCGTAACGCACTAGAAGGCCTCGGCGCCCGAGACATCCTCCAGAACCGCCGGATCTCAGAGACTCTCGATTTATCCTCGCTCGAATTCATCTTCGTCTTGGCTTCGTCTTATCCGAATATCTGGAGCGCGTGTGAACTTTTCGTGAACTCCCGAATAGATTACGATTTTTTATAATCCGAACTTTTTCCCCACGTTTTCCGAACTTGAAACTTTGTTCGGACTTTTTCAATCTTTTCCCACCTTTTTTTACACGCTCTGTTAAAGCATTGAACCTTTTCGAATCCTCCCTGAACTCTTTGAACTTTGTCGAACTCTTGCCTGCCTTGGTTCCGAACTCGAACTTCTAACCTTCCCTCCGCCCGAACCCAAGCCCTACCTTTATTTCTTTTCCAGGAACGCCCATCTCTTCCCCATCACCCAATTACAATCCCAGATCGATTTTGACGGTCCTGGAGCCCGAAAGCAGCCCCCAGAGGTTTACATGGACGACCCATCTTCTCGCACCTTGGCGCTCCTCGCCCATCTCCCCCGGCCCGTCGCATCCCTTCTCGCTGCTCTCTATTCGCCGATCGCCCGTCGCTTCTCCCCCTCGATCTCCTCGATGTTCTGGATCCTGATTCTTCGCCAATCGATCCTCTCCTAGCAGCATGTTTCGTCAGAATGCTCAAGTCGCGAGAAGAGGCATCACCCTGCAGCATCAAGCTGCATCAGCGAGCGGCAGCAGCAGCGGGAGCGTCCATCAGCAACAAGCAGCAGCAGCAGCAGCAGCAGCAGCAGCAGCAGCAGCAGCAGCAGGCGGCAGCAGCAGCAGCAGGCGGCAGGCAGCCGCTCGCACAAAGCAGAACTGGCCGTCAGCAACACGCTGCAGCTACAAGCAGCAGCAGCAGCAGCACGCAGCATAACTAAACATTATTAACAATTCGCAAGAACACGCAACATGCTACAAGCAGCAGCACGCACTCGCATGCGTGGAATGCGAAGTTTGAGCCCCACGCTATCATGCCAGTCTTCTGGCAGCATGTCCAACACCAAATGCCAGTTCGTGCGGATTTCGCGGGCGTAGTCCACGGGTCAGCCTTGGTCACCTACAACGCCGGGATTAGCGCGTGCGGGAAAGGCGAGCAGTGGCAGCGGGCTTTGTCGCTGCTCAGCGAGATGCGGACGGGGAAGTTGAATCCGAATGTCATCAGCTACACCGCTGGAATCAGTGCGTGCGAGAGAGGCGATCAGTGGCAGCGGGCTTTGGTGCTGCTCAGCGAGATGTGGGCTGCGAAATTGGAGTCCAGCGTCGTCAGCTACAGCGCTGGGATTAGCGCGTGCGGGAAAGGCAGGCAGTGGCAGCGGGCTATGTCGCTGCTCAGAGAGATGCGGACGGGGAAGTTGAATCCGAATGTCATCAGCTACACCGCTGGAATCAGTGCGTGCGAGAGAGGCGATCAGTGGCAACGGGCTTTGGTGCTGCTCAGCGAGATGTGGGCGGCGAAGTTGGAGTCCAACGTCGGCAGCTGCAACGCCGGGATTAGCGCGAGTGAGAGAGGCAGGCAGTGGCAGTTGGCGCTGGCTCTGCTCAGAGAGATGCGAGGGACGAAGCTGGAGCCTGACGTGAAAAACAACTATTCTGGGCGCTGTGCGTGCGAAAAGGCCTTGTAGTGAAAACGCTGCCCCCGAGCGCCCGAAGCGCCCCGTCGCTCTCGGACCGCTCCAGAGAGCCCCTCGGTGGCACCAAGACGGCCTCTCACAGGCCCAAGACCCCAAGACAGCTCTGAGACGCTCCGGAACGGCCGAAGAGAACCCAAACGACGCCCCATGACAGCCCAAGAAGGGCCGACGATGGTCCAGGTGCCTCAGGAAACGGCTGAACCGGACTCCGACCACGGTCCCCCGAGGCCAAAGTCATAGGTTTTCCTATGATTTTTGCTGATTTGCCGTGTTCTCGCCATTTCGGGCCAAGAACGGCCCCAGACGGCTCCGGGGCCATCCCTCCTCTAAGACGGTCCAGGAGGCCGCGCCAAGCGCTCCAAGACCGAAGACTGCCCAGGAGAAGCCCAAAACAGCCTCATAGAGCTCCCGGGGGCCCCCAAGGCAGCCCCAAGAGGGCCCCAGGGGCTGCCCAACAGGAACCAAAGCGACCTCTAAGACGGCCCGAGATTCCCTACGTGGCCCCAGGACTGCCCAAGAGGCCCCCCGAAACGGCCCAAGAAAGCTCCGAAATGGGCCAGAGGGCCCTCAGAGGGTCCAGAGAGACTCCCACGAGGGCTCGAAGAGGGGCCGAAGGGAGCCCAGATGACGCCCTTCCCGCGGCCCCTAATTGACCAAGAACCTTCCAAGGACCATTGCCACATGCCCCAGAGTCTTCCAAGACTCCGATGGCTCCCAAGGAGCTCCCAAGGAAAATGCCTCGAGCCACAGCGCCCTTTCGCCGTCTCTCGAACCCCAAACGCCCCCAAGACAGGTCCAGACCCCCAAGGCAGGCCCCAGACCACTCCGAGATGCCCCATAGCCTCCCAAGAGACTCCGATAGTCCTCACAGAGCTCCCAAGAGCTATCCCAGGGCCACTCCGAAATGCCCCAGAGTCGCCCACAAGACTCCGACGCTTGCCAAGATACTCCAACAGTTCCCACGGAGCTCCAAAGAGTGGTCCCATGAAGAGACTCCCATAGTTCCCACGGATCTCCCAAGAGCTATCCCAGGACCCCCCCCAAGATGGCTCAGAGTCGTTTTCAAGACCTCCCCCCGACAGCTGATTAGGGGTGACAGGGGGGATCTTCTGCTCTGATCTCTTCCTCCTTCCCTCATCGAGGCTCCGGCCGCTCTGGGGCCTCCTCTCCGCCTGTTAGGGGTGAGGGGGGACCTGCAGCCACTTTGGTCGCTCCCCCTCTACTGCCGATTAGGGGTGACAGAGTGGGGACCTGCAGACACTGCGGGGACCAGCATCCCGCTCCCCCCTACGGCTGAGTAGAGCCCTTGGTGGCCCGCAAGACAGCCCCGAACCACGAGATCCCTCCCTGGACAACTCCGAGATGGTGCAGACCCCCCTCAGGACATTCGAAGACAGCCTCCAGCCCCAGTTCCTGGAACCTGCAGCAAACTCTGCAGCTAACCTCAGGGGTGACAGGGGGGACCTTCCGACAGCAATCTCACAGCACGCACGCGCAATAAGTTTCTCCGGCTGTCCTCCAGCATAGGCCACGCTTGGGTTGCATTATTCTTGCCCCTGCCGGGCGAGGCAGATCATCTCCAGCAGCCCGCGCAGGGGCCGGGAACGGCCCCAGAGGCGCCAAAAACCCACAAGAGGCCTTCAAGACGCTCCAGACAGGCTCTCAGGATGGCCCAGCATGCCCCCGACACGGTCCCAGGGACGCCCGAGCTGTTCAACTTCGACAAGTTGTTTACCCACGGGGTGCGAGTCCAGATTCAGCACACCGTGGATCTAATCCAAAGGGCTCGCACTAGTCTATACTACAATGCAGGGCCCCGCGCGAGCGAGCGAGCCACTCGAGCATGCCTGCCGGCTGCTCGGCCCTGTGCAGGGCATGGGTGTGCAATCAGTCTACCAGCCAGACAACAAATTTGTGAGACATGAGACAAAATGAACAGGGCCCCGCGCGTGCGTCCCAATCCTTAGGGGAACCGTGCATTTTTGCAATTCCCGCGCTTTGCGTCCGCAACGCGTGCAACACAGCTATACAGACCCTCAAGATCGCCCCGACGCGCCTCTGGAAGCCCCCATGACGGCCCCGAGACGGCCCCACGGCGCCCATGGCAGCCCAAGAGGCAGCCATGACAGCGCCGAGACGGTCCCAAGACGGCCCAAGACGGCCCCGAGACGGTCCCAAGACGGCCTCAGAGGCGCCCGAGACGGCCTCACATGGCCCCAAGACGGCCCCAGAGGCGCCCTAGAGGGCCCCAGACGGCCCCAAGACGGCCCAAGAGGCACCCAAGACAGCCCAAGAGGGCCCCAGGAGGCCCCCATGAGGCCCCCAGGAGGCCGAAAAGAAGCGCTGAGAGGGCCCCAAAGGGTTCCAAAGAGCCCCCGAGATGACGGCCCAAGAGGCACCGAAGCCAGCCCCAAGAGCAGACAAAGACTGCCCAAGACGACCCCGAGACAGCCCAAAAGGGCTCCAGGAGGCTCCCAGACGCTCTGCTACATTGCATGGCCCCGCGCGTGCGAAAAGTATGATTCGGACCAAAATGGCGTAGCAGGCGCCCCGCCGGCCCCTGCGAGCCCCAGCAGGCCCCGGCGCGCTCCGAGACGCTCCAAGATGACCCCACGAGGGCCCCAAGATGGCCCAAGAAGGCCCAATAGGGCTTCCGAGAAGGTCCAAGAGCGCTCCAAGACGCCCACGATACCCTCCCGACGGCCCAAGAGGCTCCCAAGACGCTCCAAGTGGGCTCCAAGACGAGCCCCAAGAGAACCCGAACAAGCACAAATCGTCCCAATCCCTAAGGAAAACGTGCATTTTCGCAATTCCCGTGCTTTTGGAAATTTTCAAAGCGTCCACGAGGACAATTCACGCTCCCAAGATCGCCCCAGGACGCCTCAGGAGCGCCCCATGAGGGCCCCAAGACGGCCCAAGACGGCCCCAGGACGGCCCAAGACGACCCCAGGACCGCTCCTGAGGCGCCCACGACGGCCCAAGAGTCACCCAAGGCAGCCCCAATTGCGGCCTCAGATGGCCCAAGACGGCCCCAAGCCGGCCCGAGAGGCGTCCAAGATGGCCTCAGACGGCCCCAAGACGGCCCAAGGGGCACCCAAGACGGCCCAAGAGGGCCCCAAGAGGCCCCCTGGAGGCCGCAAGATGGTCCAAGGGGGGCCCCAGGAGGCCGAAAAGAAATCCCGAGAGGCCCCCAAACGGTTCCCAAGGAGAAGGAAGCGCCCGCCATCAGTGGCCGCATGAGAGCGTTGTTCTCCTCCGTGGGTGAGGGCGCGAGCGAAAGAGTGCCGAATAATGAACAGCAACATGTGCGCTACCTCCCTTTACTATTGCCTCCCAGCTCCGGGGCGCCCTTCGCCGCTGCCGCCTCAGTGAGGCGAGATACACCAGAGACCTCCAGGGATCGCAGTCCCCAGCACAATCTGATCCCAGAGGGGCGCGGAGACGGCGCCCAAAAGGACGTGGCTCCCTGCGCGTCCACAGTGAGCCCCCATGCACAGTCCACCGTGCGACATTTCGAGTGCCCTGGGGCAGGATCGATCTCTCCCGTGGGCACGAAGCAGACAGCAGCAGCGGCAGGCACCGGGTAGAAGCATGCACCAAACAGAACTGGCCATCAGCAATAACCTGCAGCCTCAAGCAGCAAGAATACGCAGCAGCAAGCAGCAGCACACAGTAGCATGCGCGGAATGTGAGGTCGGGCCCCGCAATCAGGTGCCAGTTCGTGTAGATTTCGTGGATGGAGTCCACGGGTCAGTTCTACCAACGTCGCCAGCCTCCTTCTGGTGCCCACAACCCACGACGACGACCACCATCACCACCACGACAACGACGCCGATTACGACGGGTACGACGGCGGCCTCGCGGCGGCAACGACAACGACGCCGACGATGACCGCGACGACGGCGAGCTCGGACACGAAGACGCTGTCTCGCTGCCGCCGCCCCGGCCGCGACGTGCTTATAGGTTTTCCGCAAGTCTCCGCCGTTCCTGCGATAACCATTTCAGAAAGATGTCGTGGACGGAGTCCACGGGTCAGCCCTGGTCAGCTACAGCGCGGGGATCAGCGCGTGCGAGAAAGGCGAGCAGTGGCAGCTGGCTCTGTCGCTGCTCAGCGAGATGAGGGAGGTGAAGTTGGAGCCTAATGTCATGTGTACACAAGCCCCGCACCCATTGCGTGCGGGTGCTTTGGCAGTGGCAGCCCCCTCGGCGCTAGATGCTCGCTTTCCACGCAGGCTGGAGCCCTCGCAGGCAGTCTGGTTGGCTCGGAGTCCCTTGGGGACGCTCCACTGCGTGTCTTTGTTAAGGTGGCGAATATGGTGGTCACCAAGATCGGCCCAAGACCAGCTCGAGATTGCCCCAAGGCATTCAATGAGGGCTCTACGATCGCCTCAATCCCCCCCCACTGCCGACAGCACTACTCGCCAAGAGGGCCCCAGGGTCTCGCCAGGCCCCAAACATGTTCCCAACAGCTCCCTAATCTCAAACAGACTCCTGAGAGGCCTCGACTAGGCCCCAAGAGTCCCTCGTGAGGCCGCAATATCGCCAGACCGTGGGTTTTAACTTACGTGTTCCAGTGTTTCTGGCCTCCTGACTTCTCTGGCCGCGGACGCGTCCAGACGGGTCTGAGACGGCCCTCAGATGCACCGCAGATTGCTCCATCATGGCCCGACACGGACCATGACGGCCAACGACTGCCCATGACAGGCCCAAAGGGGGCCTCAAGAAAGCCACCACCGCTCTCCTGTGGGCTAGAAGCCGGACTCGACAGCCAGAGGAAGCTTGACAAGGCGGGGGATTTGGTGATCCAGTGCAACCAGTGTGACATGTATTGTCCATTGTCCTGCAGGAGCAGATTACTTGCGCCCGCGGGTCTAATCAGCAAGTCTTTGAAATCAGTGGCTTTTCCATTATATTTGGTCAGCTACAATGCCGGGATCAGCGCGTTCGAGAAAGGCAGGCAGTGGCAGCAGGCGTTGTCGTTGCTCGTCAGGTTGCGGGATGTGAAGTTGGAGCCTGACGTCATCTCTACTACAGGGTTCTGCTAGTCCAAGACAGGGCTCAAGGTGGCCCCCCAGGAGAGGATGGCTCCAGAATGGTCTTGCGGGGCCCCCCAGACGGCTCTGAGCGGCCTCAAGACGGCCCAAGAGGCCCCACGGCGCTTCCAGAGGTCTCTTTTACGTTCCCCCGAGGCTCCCACGAGACCCCAAGATGCTCCAAGTGGTTTTCAAGAAGCCCTAAAAGGCCCCCGAGAAGCCCTCAGTTTTACGCCCCACGAGCGCCTCCAAGAGGCTCTGGAGATCCTCCTCCCCGAGGTATTCGAGGGCTCCGCTCAGATTCCGAAGGGCCCCGGGGGAGCTCCTTCGGGCGGTCCAACTGCTCCGCGAGAGGCCTCCACGATGCGGCCTTGCTTCCCAGACGTCCCCCTGGCGCGCAGCACCAATCAGCGACAAGTAGCAGCACGCAGCACCGCCAAGCCGCAACACGCGGCAGCACGCTACGGTCAAACCAGGCCGTAGCGACGAGAAATAACGTGTGCATATATGCGTGTTAGCCAGCGCGGACCCCAAACTGTGTGTTTCTAGCAACATATGTTGTGCAATCGATGTGGAACACTGGGAGCGCAATCTATGTGGTGCAGTGTATGTGGTGCAATCTAGTGACGCTTGGCGTGCACGCCCGCTGCGAGAGTGTCATCCACAGTGATGCAGGCCTGGCCAGTGGCTGGGGTCGTCCGTCGAGGGGCATCCGACCCTCGGCGTGTGGTAAGTCGGTCGCAAAAAGTGTTGGGATATATGTTTTTTGGTCCATGTTGTGCAACCTATGTTGTGCAGTCGATGTTGTGCGGTTTATCTTGTGCAACATTTGCGGTGCAATCTATGTTTCCAGAAGACTGTTTCAGGGGCTTCTGTGAGCGGGGCAAATGAACGATCGCCATTGGAATAACTAATAGAAGAGTGCTCCTCTTCCGCCTCTCTTGTAACTCATTATCCTCTTCTTCCCCTCTCCCTCAGCGTCGCCCCCCGCGTTCCGTCTCGCATTTTGTCCCGCTTGATTACTTCTGTGGCGTCCACTGTGACCGCGCGCGCGCGTCGTTTGAGAAACGACCCCCCTGGCGCGCGCCCCGCATAGAGCCGGGGCGCCGCCTGCGCGCATGTAAGCTCGGACCCCGACCTTACGAAGTGAAGCTTGGATTGCCGTCCGCCGCGGGACCTCCTGCGCGAACAAGGGGGGGGGGGGAGGGGAAGGAAGAGGGGGGGCGTGAGGGGGGAGGGGGGGGGGGGGATAGAGGACGTCCACGGCGAGAATGCGGAGGGGAACCTGGCCCCTTGGGGCCACGTTGGCGCCTCTTGGGGCATCCTGGGTGGCTATGGGAAAGGGGGGGGGACATCGCGCGGGCGCGGGGCCGCTTCCTGGAGGGCGTTCGAGCTCGCAGTTGCCAGCGCCTACGTCCGTCATGGGCCCAGCTACTTCGGCACTCATGCGACAGACAAGGCTCGAGGGTCAGGAACGCCTTCGCCCCCCGCCCCTCGACCGGGGCAAGGCCCGTCGTCGCCGCGTGGTGAGGAACGCCCGTCAGGGGCGATGGCGCGTCATGAAGATGCTTGACGGCCAAGAACGCTACAGGCCGTTGATTCTGGATGTCGTCTCAGCCTCAGCGTCGCCACCTAGTCAGGAACGCGCATTTGGCGTGGCCCCCGTGCCGACGGAGGCTCGAGGGTCAGGGGCGCTGCAGCTCACTGCCCTCGGAGTGGTTTCAGCGCGACGTCGCCGCATGGTCAGGGGCGTGCGTCAGGAACGATGGCGCATCATGATGGGGCTCGAGGGTCAGGAACGCTGCAGTCCATTGCTCCTCGAGGCGGTCTTGGCTCAGCGTCGCCACCTGGTCAGGGGCGCGGGCGCGGCATGGCGCCCATTCGACCGAGGCCCGGGGGTCGGGAACGCTGCAGCCCCCTGCCCTTGGAGGCGCATTCAGCTCGTCGTCGCCACTTGGTCAGGGACGGGACGCGCGCCTGGAACGATGGCGCGTCATATGAGGCCCGAGGGTCAGGAACGCCGCAGCCCATTGCTCCTCGAGGTGGGATCAGCTCAGCGTCGCCACCTGGTCAGAAACGCGCACTTGGCCAATTCTGCGCGGGAAAGCTCACAGTGCGCGAGGGGCAAGGCCGCCGCGCGCGCGGCGGCCCTGGGCAATTCTGCGCGGGTTACTGCACAGCGCGCGAGGGGCAAGGCCGTCGCGCGCGCGGCGGCCCAGGCCCATTCTGTTACGGAAAATGCGCAATCCGTGAGGGCAAGGTCGCCGCGCGCGCGGCGGCCCAGGCCCATTCTGCGCGGGAGAACGCACAGTGAGCGAGGGGCAAGGCCGCCGCGCGCGCGGCGGCCCTGGCCCAATTCTGCGCGGAGTAACGCACAGTGCGCGAGGGGCAAGGCCGCCGCGCGCGCGACGACCCAGGCCCAGTCTGCGCGGGAAACGCACAGTGCGCGAGGGGCAAGGCCGCCGCGCGCGCGGCGGCCCTGGCCCATTCTGTGTGGGAAAATGCTCCATGAACGAGCGCAAGGCAGCCGCGCGCGCGGCAGCCCTGGCACATTCTGCGTGGGAAATGCACCATGCGCGAAAGCAAGGCCACCCCGCGCGCGGCGGGAAAACGCACAGTGCGCGAGGGGCAAGGCCGCCGCGCGCGCGGCGGCCCTGGGCCATTCTGCGTGGGAAAATGCGCAGTGCGCGCGCGGCGGCCCAGGCCTACTCTGCCTGGGAAAACGCACAGTGCGCGAGGGGCGAGGCCGCCGAACGGCGGCCCTGCCTCATTCTGCGTTGGAAAATGCATATTCTACGTTGGAAAACACATTATGCGCGAGGGCAAGGCCGCCGCGTGCACGGCGGCCCTGGCCAATTCTGCGTGGAAGAACGCGCAGTGCGCGAGGGGCAAGGCCGCCGCGCGCGCGGCGGGGAGGGCCGATTCTGCGTGGGAAAGTGCGCGCCGCGTGAGGGCAAGGCCGCCCGCGCGCGGCGGCCCAGCCCCTTCTGCGCGGGAGAACGCGCAGCGCGCGAGGGGCAAGGCCGCCGCGCGCGCGGCGGCCCTGGCCCATTCTGCGTTGGAAAACGCACAATGCGCGAGGGGCAAGGCCGCCACCGCGCGCGGCGGCCCAAGCCCATTCTGCGTTGGCGAATGCACAGTGCGCGAGGGGCAATGCCGCCGCCTAGCGGCAAGGCCGCCGCGCGCGGCGGCCTTGGCCCACTCTGCGTGGGGAAAGGCACACAGCGCGATGGCAAGGCCGCAGCGCGAGCGGCGGCCCAGGCCCATTCTGCGTTGGAAAACGCACAGTGCGCGAAGGGGCAAGGCCGCTGCGCGCGCGCGCGGCGGCCTTGGCCCGCTCTGCGCGGGAGAATGCGCCCTGCGCGAGGGCAAGGCCGCCGCGCGCGCGGCGGGCTTGGGCCATTCTGCGTTGGAAAATACACAATTCGCGAGGGAAAAGCCGCCGCACGGCGGCCCAGGCCCATTCTGCGTGGGAAAACGCACAGCGCGCGAAGGGGCAAAGCCGCCGCGCGCGCGGCGGCCCAGGCCCGTTCTTCGTTGGAAGATAGACGATGCGCGAGGGCAAGGCCGCCGTGCGCGCGGTGGCCCTGGCCCATTCTGCGCGGGAAAACGCAACTTTCGCGAAAGGCAATGCCGCCGCCCATTCTGCGTGGAATTTGCACAATGCGCGAGGGTCAAGGCCGCCGCGCGCGGCGGCCCTGGCCCATTCTGCGCGGGAAAACGCAAATTGCGCGAGGGGCAAGGCCGCCGCGCGCGCGGCGGCCCTGGCCCATTCTGCGTGGGATAACGCACAGTGCGCGAGGGGCAAGTCCGCCGCGCGCGCGGCGGCCCTGGCCCATTCTGCGTGGGAAAACGCACTGTGCGCGAGGGGCAAGGCCGCCGCGCGCAGCGGCCCTGGCCCATTCTGCGTGGGAAAGCGCATAGTGCGCGAGGGGCAAGGCCGCCGCGCGCGCGGCGGTTCTGGCACATTCTACGTGGGAAAGCGCACAGCGCGCGAGGGGCAAGGCCGCCGCGCGCGCGGCGCCCTTGCCAATTCTGTGTGGGGGAAAACGCACAGTGCGCGAGGGGCAAGGCCGCCGCGCGCGCGGCGGCCCTGGCCCATTCTGCGTGGGGATAACGCACAGTGCGCGATGGGGCAAGGCCGCCGCGCGCGCGGCGGCCCTGACCCATTCTGCGTGGGATAACGCGCAGTGCGCGAGGGGCAAGGCCGCCGCGCGCGCGGCGGCCCTGGCCCATTCTGCGCGGGAAAACGCACAGTGCGCGAGGGGCAAGGCCGCAGCGCGCGCGGCGGCCCTGGCCCATTGTGTGTGGGAAAACGCACAGTGCGCGAGGGGCAAGACCGCCGCGCGCGCGGTGGCCCTGGCCAATTCTGCGTGGGAAAACGCACAGTGCGCGAGGGGCAAGGCCGCCGCGCGCGCGGCGGCCCTGGCCCATTCTGTGTGGGAAAACGCACAGTGCGCGAGGGGCAAGGCCGCCGCGCGCGCGGCGGCCCTGGCGCGTGGGAAAACGCACAGTGCGCGAGGGGCAAGGCCGCGCGCGCGCGGCGGCCCAGCCCATTCTGCGTGGGAAAGCGGAGGCACAAGCGAAGGGCAAGGCCGCCGTTAGCGCGCGGCGGCCCTGGGCCATTTCTGCGTGGGAAAACGGCCACAGTTGCGCGAGGGGCAAGGCCGCCGCGCGCGCGGCGGCCTGGGCCATTTCTGTGTGGGAAAACGCAACAGTGCGCGTGGAACAAGCCGCCGCGCGCGCGGCGGCCCTGGCCCATTCTGCGTAAGGAAAAACGCACAGGTGCGCGAGGGAAGGCCGCCGCGCGCGCGGCTGGCCCTGGCCCATTCTGTGTGGGAAAAACGCACCAGTGCGCGTAGGGGCCAGCCGCCCGCGCGCGAGGCGGCCCTTTGCCCATTCTGTGTGGGAAAACGCACAGTGCGCGAGGCAAGGCAGTCCGCGCGCGCGGACCAGGCCCCCACTGGCCATTCTGTGTTGGGAAAACGGCGCAGCGCGCGAA